CTCTGCTCACTGCATTTAAAAGTAAAAATGACTTCCATTTCAGTCTCTTTCAATATAAAAGTCTTAAATGCTGACTCATAAAACAGTATCTTGTCGCCATCTAATGGTGGAACAATGTCACAAAAATCACGAACACACACACTGTTTCCTAATACTAAATACTACTATGTATATAAAATATTATTTATTGAATAAACAACAACAACAACAGCCATCATAAAAGCCATGCTCTAATATACAGCATTAAAGTTACATAAAATATAACGTGATGAGATTTTGCCTTCAGCTGAAATTATTTGCTCTGGAACAAAAAATAGATTAATGAGACCAAAGATTGCCAGTCAGATTTACCCAAAACGAATTATATCTCATGTTTAACCACTATAGAGACATTAGAGCCAGCGGCAAATTCCAGAAGTTCTGGCCAAGGTGAGGCTGCTCTGGCGGGTTCATGAGCGCTGAACGGCCCCGGACACACTGGAGCTCACGTCTCTGAAAACTTCGATGCAAATTTTCAAATAGACGTTATCTTTATTAACAAACCGTAGATTTGAAGTCTAAACAAGTACATTCTCACCTAAAAACCTTTTAAAACTACATTCCGTGACACAAAAACAGTACTATTTATACATTTTAGTGGATTTGGGTGTCCGCCATGACACTCGCTGTGAGAAATACTGGAAGCGGAGTGATACAAGCGGTGAAAGGGCGTTCCTGTGGCGATACCAGTATATAAATTTTTAATTTATTTTTAAAATATAGATCCATTATATCCAGTGTTGGTGAATCATCAGTTACATCATGTTTAAGTACTTTGCTGAATATATTTTATTTCTTTACATATTATATATTATGTATAAGTATTTAAAGATGTATAATACATCTAATAGAATTATAATAATATACTATATTATACTGTATACAGTACACTTAATAAATTATTAACATGTATTTACATTTTGTTTTAGATATATATTATAGACTGCATTGCCGCAGGTTTTTATGAGCATTAAAGGAACATCATTGATACTCCAATAGCTTTATGAACACATAGTTCATAAGCAGTTTGCTCTGAAACAATAATTACCTCTTCTGCAGGATGCCAATATTGTATGTTATAGATCCGAGTAATAGCGGCGTCTTATTTAATTCATTGGTGAGGGATCTAGTCAGGGGCAATATTATGACAGAATTAATAAAATCATCTCTTCAACAATACTGTGGTGATTACATGTCTCCGAACAGACAAATATAAGAATAACCCTCTATTCTTTCAATTACTCACGAATTACTAGTGATTGTGTCAAGGTGTTTTTTTTGCCAGGCGCTAAAGTAAACTGCGAAGAACAGACTCTTGTTAGCCTAATGCGTCCTAACCATTAGCGAGAGTAATAAGTGTATCAAATTCACATAATCATGTCTAATTAGTATCAGTAATTATCTTGTTGGGTGCGAGAATATTAATCTTGCGGTCCCCATAGGGGAAGGGCGTCTCTTGCCGGGAGAGAGCGATAGAGCTTCAAGCTCACGCTGTGGAGTACTTGCTAAATTAGCATGCTCCAAATCAGCGCTGCGGAGGGAGGGGAGCGAAGGAAACGTGTCGGAGAAAAAGACAAAATTGCATAAAGCGAAAAACAACAGAGAAAAGTTTAGTCCCACTGTGAAATGCATTAGAGCCTAGTAAATAAAATATCAGTGTTTTCTGTGTGCTTTTCAAGTTTTTTGTTGACGTGCATGTGAGTAAAACTTTTAAATGGATTTCTATTTTCGTGATCCAGTTTACGTTAACACTTAAGAATTACTATGTGTTCCGATGCCACCTTTAAGTTCATAGCATAGACAAAAGGATATATCTACTGTTTCTTTAAAGCCTCAGGAGCAGCTGAAGCATATAAACAGCACATGTAATTTTATGTAATGTGCTGTTTTTTAAACATTTTAGTAAGAATAGGCTAACGGCAATATAAAACCAATTTGAAAATGAACCAAGCACAAACAATGTTGGATCTTAAAGAAGAAACAGGCAAGAAAAAATAATTATGTAGGTATCCATCAAAACCTGACCTTGAGCCTCCAATGTTGAGATTTAAATATTAGACATCATCTCTATCAAGTGGGGAGCCTGTTTTTCGGGAACAGGAGGAGAGGACCCCATGCGACACGGCCAGGCCGGTGAAGTGGCGCCCAACGCGGGGCATCCGCTGATTGAAGCCAGGGAGGCCCGTCAGCACAGCCGCTGCCGGGAGAGATGGATGTGTCAGGCGGAGAGTGGGGTAGAGCTAATTACCGTTCCGAGTGTATCTTGTTAATTAAGGGCTAATTAGTGGCAGAAGCGCAGAGGGAGCAGGGTATGGAGACAGGGTGAGGCGCTGACTGCTCATGTAGCACTAAGAGATGAACGTGGTGATGAGATATACAACATCTATACGCAAATCTTTACCATGCCTTCTTTAGTCCCTCCAGCTGGTTGATACTTTATGGTTCTCATCGCGTCTATAGGAAAATAGGTTTTCTGAGATTGTTCTGAGATTGTTTTGCTTTCAGGTTTTAGTAATAACTAAAAAGTTATGTAGTTTTGCTATAGTAATGTGTTGGATTTTTTACATGTACTATGGTGAATTTGTTCCAAACCTGTATGAGTTTCTTTCTTCTGTTGAACACAAAAGAAGCTATTTTGAAGAATGTTGGGAACCAAACCATTGCCGGTTGCTGTTGACTTCCATAGTATGGAAAAAAAATAGTCAATGGCTACGTCAACTGTGAACTCGATCGACTAAGCCAATTAGCTAATCACAAACTTAAATAATTCCTTGAAATACTTTGTGGTGTCATGTAAATACCATAGTAAATTAATATGATAGTCATTTAGTACTACAGTATACATTTAGAATTAATGCCGGGCTCACACTACAGGAGTTTTAGGCCGATTTATCCCCAATTTCCCCCTCCAGAGAATCGGAGAAACAATTGGTCAGTTCTGATGTTTCGGCGTCGATTATCTGGTAATGCGAGGCGTTTACAGATTGAATCTTGCACCTTCCGATCTGCTCGCACATAAATCGGGGCCTCCCCGATCATATGTGACCCTGGACCACAAAACCTTAAGTCGCTTGGGTTTATTTGTAGCAATAGCCAAAAATACATTGTATGGGTCAAAATTATAGATTTTTCTTTTATGCCAAAAATCATTAGGACATTAAGTAAAGATCATGTTCCATGAAGATATTTTGTAAATTTCCTACTGTAAATATATCAAAACTTAATTTTTGATTGGTAATATGCATTGCTAAGAACTTCATTTGGACAACTTTAAAGGCGATTTTCTCAATATTTAGATTTTTTTGCACCCTCAGATTCCAGATTTTCAAATAGTTGTATCTCTGCCAAATATTGTCCTATCCTTTTCAGCTTTCAGATTATGTATAAATCTCAATTTCGAAAAATGGACCCTTATGACTGGTTTTGTGGTCCAGTGTCACATATCAAACATGTTTGATATTTAGGATCTTAAATCAGGATGATCATGGCTAGAACTTTCACAACAGCCAATAAGTGACCGCAAAACAAGCTGCTGTATGGGCCCATTGGATAGTGGAGATGGAGGAAACTGCTTGTGGAAGTTTTGCAATAACACAACTGTCTGTCTAATATGTCGAAAACATACCACAAGCCTCAGTTTTGAACATGCCGGCAGAATGTAGAAAGCATGCTAGCATGCAAGCTAACATATGTAAACATTAGTTGCTGAAACGTCAATTGACGATCTGCTGAGTCAGATCACGTCAGGCGCTTCCTCTGGCATGATGATCTTAATAATATCTTGTAGTGTGTGATGCGCCACGATTTTCAAATCTTGTAGTGTGTGCATGTTTAGGATTTGAGGGAAGATGTGTGTGCTGCAACCAGATTTCATAATCGGTTAGGATTTTAAAACTCCCGTAGTCTGAGCCCGGCTTAACAGACGCTTCTATGACTTACATTGTATTCAGATTTACATTTATTCAGTTCATGTATTCTCTGGGAATCAAAACCATGACCTTTGCATTGCTAGCGCTGTGCTGTACTGTTTGAGCTTCTGCAATACTTGTATACATTAGAATATGACGGTACATGATTGTTTTTGGCCTTATTGACACTTCTATTGATAAAGATAGTATCGAGAATGGATGGATTACATGTGGAAACCTTTAGGACACAGCTCCAACATGCCGTGCATGCTCAGATTAAAATTAAAAAAAAAAACAGTACAGTAAGCTTTTACTGGGGTGGTATCCTTACAAAAGGTGCTAATATGTATCATTTAGGTACTACTATATACACTTTAGGGACTAATATCTTTAAGGTATTACACTCTCAGAAAAAAGGTACAAAAGCTGTCAATGGGACACGGTATCTTTTCAGAAAGTACACTTTTGTACCTTATTTCCCCTTAAAGGGTACATATTGGAACCTTAAAGTTGCATATTAGTACCTTTTCAAAGTGTACTGCCCTAATGACCTTATTTCTGAATGTACTATACTTACTTTTGGTGCAAATATGTATATTTAAGGTACTGCTATGCACACTTAAGGCACTAATATGCACACAAATGTCTGTGAAATGTGATTTGAACATCTCTCTAACTGAATCTCTCTCTCTCCTCTCATCTGGCAGGCACTCCTCACTCTAACAGCAGTAGTTCCCTGCAGTCCGGGGGTTCGGCGACCGGCGTGGCTTTGGGGACTAGTAAAGAGGGAATGCACCAGCGCTCGTTCTCCGTGTCCAGCGCAGAACAGTGGAGCGAGGCCGTTATCAGCACCACGGCAGGTCAGAGGAAAAGCCAAGAAAATTCTGACACTGACACTTTTCTTTTTCTTTCTCAAATCAATCTTAATATAATATAATATGTTTAAAATTCAGGCAGTTTTTTTTTTCTTTAATGTTGCTTTTCCATTGCTTTGATATTTACAGCAGATTTTAGGTCGTACTTCAGGGTCGATGATTGTGGGGTTATGTACTAGATTAGCACAATAACATGCAAGGAATGCATCAATACCAGCAATTTGTGCATTAATGTTTTTTAGTATGCGCAATATAATATACCATAGTAATCGACTCACTTTAGTATTTAACCAGATTAATCAGTCTTCACAAAAGTATTAAAATGACAAAAACATTCTGAAAATATTTTTTTTTTTTTAAAGGATCATATATTTATGATGATTCACAGAAGGAGCAAAAGTAATTGTGTAGACAATTATGGTATTTTGCCAAAAACTATGATTATCTCGGTGAAATTTGTTAAGAGAACTATGCTGTTTGATGCATGTCAGTGGTTGTGCTGTCAAAGTCAGCTTGAAATAAAAAATTCACACTATCTATTTTCTAAATGTACTGTATATTGTAGATCTTATGAACCATTTTCATATTTTCGGGGTTCTCAGAAGCCTAAGCCATTATACTGTAGTTGTATTAAAATTTTATAGTGGTGAAACTTCAACCAACATGACTTTTGCGTTTCCCTTTGCCCTAATAGCAAATTAAAATCCATAATATTGTTTTATGACTTTCTGAAAGAATAAAAATGTATCAAGAGATTGATTACATTGGTCAGAAGAGAGAAAAATCTCAATTTGCCGTCAATTCCTCAGCTGTTGTATTAGAAATACACAGCAGCTTTTAATTAGTTTTCTGTAATTTGATGCCAAGATAATAAAACACCAAGTATAGTGTTATAAATGTACAGTACCGGGCAAAAGTTTGGAAGCAGTGCTTTTCAACATTTATAATAATAATAAATGTTTCTTGAGCAGTAAATCAGCATATTAGAATGATTTCTGAAGGATCATGTGATACTGAAGACTGGAGTAATGATGCTGATAATTCAGCTTTGATCACAGGAATAAATTACATTTTCAAATATATTCAAATAGAAAACATTTATTTTGAATTGAAATAATATTTAAACATTTTTACTGTATTTTTGATCAAATGCAGCCTTGGTGAGAAGATAAGATATTCAAAAACTTTAAAAAATCTTACAGATCCCAAACGTTTGACTGGTAGTGTTCATTACATTTGTAAAAAAAAATTAAAATATAAAAGTGATTAACAATGGTAATAACTTTGGAAATGCATCATCATCTACCTCCATTTTTGAGTGCAACGCCCACATCTCAAAATCCAATCAACAACCGATGCATAGATCCAAGGCATTGTTTTTTTTCCCAGTAATTCGACTCAGATGAACTTCTATAGAATAAACATATACACAATAAGGAATAAAAGGTCTGTCACTACTTCTATTTCATCGCAACTTTAAACAAGTCACAGATAATTCAGCAACTGCTCTTTGTTTGCGACAAACTGAAGGTTTTTAATCTGTTAAAGATAGTAGTCTATTATGATTTTACCATGGTACTAACAGTAACTGTAGAAACTATGGCACTTTTGTTTATTGCTTGTATCAGTGTTTGTGCTGTTAACAAGCCAATCGCTAATCAGGATAATTCGGTAATTCGGCTTTTTAATGGCAACTCTGGTCCTGCCGCCAAATGCAAATAGTCTCTCCACTTCTCCCGTCCTCTCTCTCTCTCTCTCTCTCTCTCTCTCTCTCTCTCTCTCTCTCCCTCCTGTGC